TGAGAAAAAAATTGAATTTAACAGTTACGGAACTCATGTTATTGTATTCATCAGTTTTCCCTCTATTCTCCGAGGACTCAGCGAATGTCTTCAAATTGATTTTTTTCCCTTCAAGTGCAAAAGAGCGTAAGCTCATCTTCATTTCAGTGTTGTTTTTTTTTTCTTTTTTGCTTCAAGTGCCAAAGCAGCGTAAGTTCATCTTCATTTCAGTATTGTTTTTCTTCTTTTCAACCATATGTGAAATCATGTTTGAGCAACAAAAATATAAAGTTTAATACTCGATAAAGACTATTGCTAAATTTTTGTTTATATTATGAAACTAATATTTTCAACCAGTTTCATTTATTTATCAGTATATTTTCTTAGTATCTTATCTTAGTATCAGTATCTTATCTCAGAACAGTATCTTTTTATAATTCTCTTCGTCCCAATGACCAAGAATCATCCTTGAATTGAAATATCGGTTTCGCTGTGATGGGATAACTCGCCTCTCTGATTCATCAGCATTGAAAGACTTTTATTATTGCAAGACTTTTATTTTCAATGGCTGCGTGCTTTTCTTGGAACTTTCTTAAGAATTCAAGAATTAAATTTGTGAAATTCTAAACTCAACAAATTTCTTTGAATCTGTATTACAATTCAGATTAGAAAAAATCTTATTTCTCCATCGAAAGGACTAATGAACTTAATGACATTATTTTAAGTATTTGATTAACATTATTGATTGGATTACAGTATCTTTTTAGAATTCTCTTCGTCCTAATGACTAAGAATCATCCTTGAATTAAAATATTGGTTTCGTGGTGTTGGGATAACTCACCTCTCTGAATCATCAGCATTGCAAAACTTTTATTTTCAACGGCTGCGTGCTTCTCTTGGAACTTTCTTAAGAACTCAAGAATTATATTTTTGAAATTCTGAACTGAACAATTTTCTTTGAATCTGTATTACATTTCAGATTAGAAAAAAATCTTATTTCTCCATCGAAAGGACTAATGAACTTAATGACATTATTTTAAGTATTTGATTAACATTATTGATTGGAGTGTTCAAAATGGTATTTAAGTACATAAAATTCCTAATAATTTCATTTTAAATGTTTCAGATAAATAAGTTTTATAATTTAAAATCTGTAGGTTTAATTCATGGTGTTTATTTAATTAGAATTGGGAAAGATCTTCTCTCATTTTGTTTAACCTATCCTTGATCATTGTGGAGAAAAATACCACAATTTTGCATGTAGAGGTGGAATTCATATGAACTTATCTTTAAAGAAAGAAGCTGTTCATTGTGTTTATTAAAATTTACTTTTTCTTTGTTATAAATGGATATAATTGATTATACAAGTACACATTATACATCTATTAATTTCTTAGAATTTTCAGTTAATTAATTAATATTTTTAAATCTTAAAATAAGAAAAATAGTTCTTCTATTTCTATTCTATATTATTTATATTTTTTGAAGTCATTAATTATTTTAAATTTAATATATAAAGAGTTATTTATTGAAGTATATTAAGAAAATTAATTATTGAACTACTATATAATAACTGAATAATATAACGTTTTTTTATAACTGAATCTGATGATGTTTACAAATATTACTGTGAAGAGAATGTATCGCGAAATAAGTATTAATTTAAGAAATGCTGTGAATATATGTGGGAGCTAATTCACATATATTTTATACCTTGTATTTCAAAGTCTTAGCACAAATAGTACAGAGAAAAGTATTCAGTACAATATTTTCAAAAATATGAGAAAGGTATTATACATTGTGTTTTCAGAAATATGAAATGGAAATGTGTGTATAGAGTGTGAACTTTCTTAAAGAGTTTTAGATTTCAAAGCATTGGATTTGTTTTCATTTTCAATTATAAGTTTATAATGCTTTATTAAATTGAATACTTTTACGTTATAATTTTTTTGTAACTCTCATGCTAATTGTTATATAACTACAATTTCACATTTTTGTCCAAATTTGCTTTTTAATTTATAAACGTTCGGTAATATGAAAAGATAAAAGTACTCAGCTGACAAGATTGTTTGGTAAATGGTCTCATTTTTCCCTCTTGAATGAAATTAATGAATCTTAATTCAATTTTGAGTAAATATTATCACAGTTTAGTTTTTCCATAAGTTGAGAGCCCTCTTTCAATATGATTGTTCAGAAAATAGCCTTTATCAAGCTATTACCACATCGTAACTAAGAAAGAACTAAGCATTTCTTTAAAAAAATCCACCTAAATATTATATACTGTTGTAGCATCAAAATCCATAGATTTATTAACGTCTATTTCAAAATCTAAATTCAAAACTTTAATTTTCCAGTTTATAAGCAATTTAAAGCAACTAGTTTTCTTAGATACATTGATATATAGATGTAAATAGAATTCCATGAATCTTCCACTTACCTATTTGGAAGACTCTGGGTTCCATTTTCAAGTCGTAGTTCATAGGGTGGGAACACTCATTCTAAAAGAAAATATTCCAAGAATCGCCTCTTCATGCCAATATCCAAGAATACAAAACGTAAAAGCACTTGTTGCCATATTTATTTTCTAAAATTCTCAGCATTTTTTATTTCTTTAAAATCTTATTTTGTTTCTGCAATTTATTTGCACTTCAAACTATTAAGTTTTATGTCTATCTAAATAGAATGTAAGGTATTTACATACGTTTCTGGTATTATAAATTACGCCAGACTGATTGAAAAGATCCATTTGAATCAATAATTATAAATGGAATAAATATCAGGTTAATTAAAAATACCCCCATTGTTTTTAGTATACAATAAGATTATTAAGAAATGTGTGAAACAAGTTGAATTTTCTTTGGACAATTGCAATGCACTTTAAATAAGACTTTTCACAATAAGCTTTCACTACTTAGACTTATTGCAAACAGCTACAAATAAATCCATCTGAACAGTGAATTTATTTTCTCATTAGCCTGATGGTATGGGAATTCATTGCAATAAGTCTAAAAAAGTATACAGCTGAATAATTATACATTGACGAAGTATTATACATTAACAACAATTAAAATTAAATCCCCTTTTCAACAATTAAAATCCCCTTTATCTCCCCTTTTCAACATTGACAACAATTAAATACTCCCCTTTTCATATCGATATCTCGATACCAAACGATTATGAACTCCTTTTCCCCATTTAGTGATTACATTATATGTTGACAGGCTCTTTTAAAGGAATAAATGGAAGAAGAGTTCTTTTTTTCTTGACTTCTTTTTCAAGGATAAATTGCGTAAGAACTGAAAAGTGGAAACCGAAACTTAAACCCACATTCTCCCATATTTGTCTAACGGCATTTTTTTTCCTTATTTAATTTTTTCTTTCTTTACAATAATTATCCGTGGCTTTTTTTCACACCAGCACATTTATAGAGTAACAAATGGGCACAAAAAAAAAGAAAGAAAGAAAATTTTGAAATTAGATTATATGAAAAAATAATTCTTGCAACAATATTTGATGGTCTTTGGAGAAAAGGTAACAAAAAATGAACAAGTACATGAAAACCCAAAATCTCCATGAAAAATGAAGTATAATTTTTAACTTGAACCTTTTATTTAGACTTTTGGGCAAGTAAAGCAAGGTTTAAATCCAGCTTAGATCGATTTTTCAAAAGGGAAAAATAAATAAGTAAAAATAAATTAATCTGACTTTTATAGCTAATATTTTTTAGTGATTTCAGAAGATCGCTAAAAATATTGTGTAGACTCAAACGTCTAGAAGAAGGTGCATTCAATACTTGATAGGTAATTCAGGGCATCGGTCTGGACATTTTTTTTTTCTTTAGATATTGGTATTTTCAAACTTCAATTTTCTCAAAAGCTACTTCAAGCAGGAGTACATCTTTCGTCCCTTTCTCTGTAAATTGCAGGAGTACTATCAAAAAGTGTGTGGCAGATCGACATGGTGCTCGACAAGTACAGCCAGCACTTTGCAGTTATCTGACAGTTAACTTCGGGTCGCCACGAATTAAAAAATCGCAGGCTGTGTACAGTAGACCTAACTAATTCAACATTCCATGCGATACAACCGATTGCATGTGTATCACAGTGAGGAATTAAAGAGTTTCTTTTCCTAAAAAGGCATCGCTTTTTTTTTCTTTCTCAGAAAAAAAAATGTGAAAAAAAAACGCGGAGGAAAGGCAGCTCCCTGACTTAACTTACATAATGCATCTCACGTTAGTATTCATAATTTCTGGTTAGAAGATGATTTTTTTCATCGAATTTATGAAACTAGTTGTAATCAATGGGTTATTTTAAAGAATAATCTTATAAGAATATTTTAAACAATAATCTTTACACAAAATATTCGGATATTCTCTTAAGGATATTAACTGTTAAAGGAGACAAATGTATGTAATCTTCTTAGAACATAAACTATATAAATCAAAATATTTTTATTCATGTTATTAAAATCGATGTCTGTATGTTTCATTATAGATGCTTGCATGTATCTTGTATGATGCATGTATCATTACTCTTTCAAACAGCTAGAATACTAATTTGAAAAGTTCAGATCATACGAGTTTGAAAATAGATTATAGAATCTTTTCCACTTTTAAGAACATGTTTTTTTTTTAATTTGTATTTTTTGTAAACGTTTACTTACATTTTTAATCAAAAAATTTTCGTTTTTATCAAAATAAATGAAAGCTACAAGCAAAAAAGATGCATGGCAAAAGATGAAAAAATATTGCTCAAACGATTTTTAAGTTTGCCAAAATAATAACCAAACGATTTTTAACATTTCCTCTATTTAACTAAATCTAATAATTTTAAGTAAAAAATACACTATTTTTTTATTATTCTTGTTAATGTTTTATTTTATTTCTTATTAAAATTGTGGACTAAAATTAAGGATTTGATACAATATATTTTATAAAAAATATTATTTTAACTCTGTAGTGATAAAAAAACTGACCTTCACTCTTATTTGACCTCGAGTTTACGTCATACCTCAATCAATAGCACTGCAGTCGAATTTAGTCGTCTGCACTGAGACCCATGTATCAGTAGTTATCACAATTTGTTTATTCTGGTAATTCTATTTAGAGCAATGAAGCAGTGAGAAGTGTGTTGGGCGCTCTGAAAGCTCGAAGATAAGTTTACATTCCAATGATCAGCTGATTGGTAACAAAAATCGAATATTTTATTTTTGTCGTAATTTGAATACAAGTGTCAATTTTCTTTTTCAAATCCTTACAGTTACAACTGTCAAGTAAGTAACTTTTACTTTCTGTTTTTTAATAATATCTAATTATGCAATCTCATGAACGGCGATATTTTTTTTTGTTTCATCAGTCATTTTTGCTATTTAAAAAAAAAGATACTTCTAATCATGAATATTGGTGAAATATTACGTTCCATGTCTTTAAAAGCAAATTTTTTAATTCGATTATTTTTTTCTTTCTTGGGAAATTTTGAAGTTCTTTTGTATTAAAAAAATACTGTGATAAATATGCGTTTCAGAAAATATTTATTTCCTCTCTCATGAATGTATATTGAATTAACTGTGAACACTTTGTTATTACTAAATATAACAAATATTAAAAATATGAAGCGTAATATTAAAAAAAATTTTGTTTGCAATATAGATTTTTAATTTTAGAAGTTCTGACTACATGTTTTGATAAAGGTATCTTCGCATTCTGACAATTCTACTTGAATAAAGTACAATATTTTTTTTAAAAAAATCAATGATACAATTGATTTAAAAAATATAATAGAGAAATTTGAAATCATCCAATATTTATTTCTTCTTATCAATGAATTTCATTGAATTATTTTTTTATTTCTTGTCAATGAAAAAAAAATTATAAAAGTAAAGACACGGGAAGAATGGAACACTTTAATTCAGTATCAATTATTTTTCTCTTCATGTGAAAAATTCCACGTTTTGTTACATTAAATTTGTATATATGAAAAGCAAGTTAAAAAATAAGTTTTCAGCATTATTTCAAATTTCAACATTTCAAATTTGTGAAAGGATGTGTAGCATAAATGTTTCATTAGTAATGTAATATAAACAGGGGTCAACAAAAATTAAAAACTCCATTGGGGATATTTCCGTGTCGTGATCTGTCACTCCAACTACAATCGCCAAGGTGCCAAATAGATTTTAAACTTGCAATTTTCTTTAAAAAAAAAAACTTTCAGATGTTTGCCTGGAGGTGGATACGAGTTATATTTATCAAATTGGTCCCTTTCTGTGATGTTTTTTTTATAGTTTCAAGCGGGCCGCTGCCCGGAAGTTGTGACTTGTCTTCATGTGAAGACTTGGCGATTATTCTGGCACAAATCACGATACGGAATTGAAGCAGAACCAGTTTTTAGGAATGTATGAAATAGAAAAAAATAGAATGAAATATAACTTACTGCTTATGAAGTTATATAGGAAAATACACAGAAATTACAAAGGAAAATACATATTTTTTTATTTCATTTTATCCAAAATATTAGTAAAGTGATCTGAAGTATTGATTTCAATTTGAATGCATCAATCAGTTATACAAGCTGACATCAAATCAAATCTTTGAATAGTAATTAAAGATATATTTTGTTGTTGTTTAGAAAAATCCTTTTTTTTCCAAAAGGTTCAGATTTTTGTTTTTAGAGTTGTTAACGCATTGCTGCCAACTCTACTGTATTTTCCAATAGACAAATGGATTTTGCCAGCTGCTGGTCTAATTAAAAATACTCCTGTTTTATTTTTATTCCAGAAATTCCTTAAAATTGAAAAAAAAATCCCTACCAAGATACATTTTTTACTCTGTTTATTGATTGTTTGCTTGAGTACTCAAATAAGTATTACTGCTAAATAATTAAATCTGCCAAATTTAAAATAATCAGCTTCAAGCTTTCCGTTTTTCAGTATTCTAGAATTTTCATTTTTCACAACTCTATTTTTAAATTAATTCAGGAATATACTATAACTATCTAAAATGCTTACAATATCTGTTGTTATTGAAATTTTAGAATTCAAAAATAAATGTAAGCCAATAGAAAAACAATCTACTATATCATGATCAGTTTGAAAAGTTTCCTTTTTCAGTATTCTAGAATTTTCATTTTTCGCAGCTCTCAATTTTTAAATTAATTGAAGAATATAGTAGAACTATCTAAAATGATATCAATATATGCTGTCATTGAAATTTATAAATTCAAAAATAAATGTACAATCCAAGTTCATTTAATGTCAATCATAGAAGAAAATATTTTATTCAGTTTAAATTTTTAGTTATTAGTGGAATGCTGTTTTTGTATTGTATTGATTATAAAAATCCGGAAAATCATGTGTTCGTAATATTTTAGATATTTCTCAATAATAGTATTGCATTTACATTATTTCGTAAAATCTACTGGATTTTTTTTCTTTGCGTGCTAGCTGCTATGTTATTATTTTTTTTAAGAAAAAAAATAGAACATTCTGACATTTTTAAAAAGCCTGTAGTTAACATTATAAAACAAGATACAGTAGAAGGGAAAGAAAATGGTTAATTCGATCATAAACAAAGTTTTCTAAAAATACTTTCAAAAAATGGTTTATTATAATTTTTGTTATATTTCATCTCTGATCCCTTTCATAGATGCATAAATATAAGCTCAAAAAAGTTTTAAGCTTGATGATTTGTGTATCCTAGGATGAAAATTCAAGGACATCGTGTGATCATGTGCGATGAACGGTATACGGATATTATCATAAGACTCCGGCTATCATTTGGAATATTTCCAAATGATCGGATTAGGTGAAGCTGACAGATACATTCCAATTTTTTAAATAAAATTTATTAATTACATGAAGTTGTATAGCAAACTACTGAAAAATTTTATGGAGCCATTTGAAAAAGGAGAATTTGTGCTTAGTATTAAAATACTTTATCTGATCATATTACAGCAATTCAAATGCTTATACTTTTTATTATATGAAACTTTTATTTTATTTTATATTTCGATAAGTTATTTTAGTGGCACAAAAATGCCAAAAAAACAATAGCTAATTTTTTCAAACATAAATATACTTAATGCGAAAGAAATTCACCTTTTCTGTTAGAAGCTTAACAGAGTTTGAAAAAATAAACGTAATTATATTAATTCTAACATAAAATGTAGTTTAAGAAAAAAGTATGCCTAGATAGTTAAACAGTTGAAATAATAAATTGTTTGAAAAATTTGAAGATTTAAAGAAAAAAAAACTTAGTAATAAGAGTAGTAGCTTAAAAAAACTTGAAGCAAAGACTTGATACTACACCTGTATTTTTTAAGAATAAGTTTAAAATTTAATTTAAATTCAGTGTACGGAAAAATCACATAAAGAATCCCTTCTAAAATTTGATTAACTTTTTACACTTTTAGTTAAAAAAAAAAAGTTAGAAAATACATGTAGCCGTAATAAATGTAAACTGTTGTACTTTTTTTTAGAAAAAAGGGTTCTGTCTTTTTGTTTTGGCATAATGAATTTATATTACTTTTCAATTGCATTTTAATTGGTTATCGAAGAAAATTGTAATTTTTGTTTCATAGAAAGTTTTTTTAGGTTTTAGTTATGAAAAAATTATAGTTCATATTTAGATTGACCGGAATTTTGATTTTTTTTAAATGATGTGGCGATTGCGAAGAAGAATTTATTTAAACAAATTCTTCTTTTTTTAATGAAATTTCAAGTAACCACTTAATTTATGCTGATCTTCGTTAGGAAGAGAAACAAATAAGATTAATTCAAAATGTATTATTAAGAAATACTATTTGAAGTTATACCTGCAGAATTAAATATTACATTTTTTATAAGTACAGCATCTAAAATATATTCTTTCAAACGAGGGAAATTGAAATTTAGGCGAATTTATATCAAAATTTCCCCTGTAATTAATAATATTTTTATTACTACTGCTGCAGTTTTATACATAAGCGAAAATATTGCATTTTGGAACACTTGTATCTTTGAGACATGGGAAATTTCTAAGATTCTAATGTCAATGTTGATATTTGATTTATGTCTTCGTAAAAAAGGCATCATTTAATAGTAATTCCCTTTAAATTTTCTTTTTAATAGTAATTTTTTTTAAAATTAATGGTAGTTTTCTTTAACTTTTTCGTTTTTGGACAATGAATTTATATTACTAAATGAATTTATATTTATATTTCTATATTATATAACAATTATTGGTTATCGAAGAAAATTGTAATTTTTTGTTTCATAGAAAGTTTTTTTACGTTTTAGTTATGGAAAAATGATAGTTCATTTAGATTGACAGCTATTTTGAGTTTTTTTAAATCATGTGGTGATTGATAAGAATACAGTAAAGCACGTTGCATCTTGGGGCATGTTCTAAACTTCAAATATCTATACTTAAGTCATTTTTGTATTCATAGAAGTATGTGCTCTAATCTGTTGCAATCTTTGAAAATACAGATAATGTTACCTTCTATAAGTATATTTTAGTTTCGTGTGTTATTACAATTTATATTTATTTTAAATTTTCATATTTTGAATTTTGTAGCAGTGAACTTGTTCTATATGACATAAAATATTCATGCGTAGATTTTGGTTCAATAAATATTTTTCTTTCTTCTTTTAAAATAGATTCTTTGTCGTAATCAAATGCAATTACTTCGCTTAAGATTTTTTAATTAAGTAAGTAATTAAGTGCCTTCTGGAGAATATGTTTTAATTATCCATAATTACTGCTGCCATAAATGCCATAGGAAATTGCACTTTCTATTTGCTCATGTTTTCTTCATTCATCGTAATTCTACATTTACATTTTTTTTGTATAATAGATTTAAACTGAGAAATTTTATTCCTTGTGGAATATTGCTGAACTATGCATTTTCAAAATTTGATACCTTACAATAATAAATGCTTGTTTTTATGGCATAAAATTGGTTTAAATAAAGCTGTTCCAAGTTATAAGAAGGTGTCGGGGCACTTAACAATTTCTACTTTAATTGTATGACATTTTTTTTAAGTTGTTTGTGATGAAAAAATTACATTTCTGAAGAAAATTGTTGTGAATTAAAAACTTGCTTTAGATTCTAAATCTGCTAAAATTTTAAAAGCTAAAAAATAAAATAGAAAAAAAGCATCTTTAGGTATAACACTCTTTTAACTTAAGCCCTTAAATTAAACTCTTTTTTTTTGTTAGGGTAAACTTGAATTTAATTCCTAAAATCTACGGTTGCTTGATACAAAGGAGAAATTTGTTTCATTTTTTAAATTTTTTTAATGAAATGTTGTAATTTGCAACATAAAACATTACTCTAAGAACTTTTTAACTTATATGCATTATTTTGCAGATTAAATACAGATTGTGCAACATGTTCTGATATAAATATTTTTGAATGGCTTATGTGTTAGGAATGTTATTTTTACAATCTTTAACCAATAAGATTTCAGTCTTCTAAATTAAAAGACATATTGCTTCTCAACACTGGTGGAACTTGGTCTAGTATTTCAATTCGGTGACCAAAACTCTTCTGCCAAAAAAGAAAAAAAAGTGATAATATGACTTATATTTTTCATTTCGTTATTTTTTAAAATAAAATTGTACTCATTTTTCTTTTAAAAAGTGGGGACTGTCTGGTCTGAAAAGTATATTCTTATTCAGTGAAAAATGGTAGTCTCGAGCAATATTAGAATGGAAAAAAAAAAGTGTAAATAACCAAAAACTATTTTTTTAGCCATCTTTGTTTGACTGTAAAAAATTCTGCTGTTAATTTTCTATTTTTTGCATAACTCTTTTATCTCCCTTTATTACTTTACAATTTTTATGTAACTCAATTAGGTACATAAAAATTGTATATTTGTTTTATTTACATGATTCATTTTATTTTCAGTTGATTTTTTTGTGGGTAGAGGGTAAAAAATACGTTTTTCTAAAACTATTATTACGTGAAAGTTTTTTCCACTTTCAATAATCTAGTTAATGATACATTGTATATTTTAAGTATTTTTTTTATTATCATTGTTTATAAATATTGTTAAAGTATTTTATTATTTACATAAGAGACTCGTGATTTCTTATCCATCTTAAGTTTATTACCAACATATTTAAAAAAGCTTATCACTCCTCAAACAAGTTCAGTGACAGATAACATTAAAGCCTAGTAGAAACAATGTTTTTTTATTATTTTCTTTTTCTTTTTTATTTTCAATGTTTAAGTTCTATTTGTATTGATGATTAACTAATGAATTTTTCTTATCAGATTTAAGTAATAGTTTAAGTAGAATGGGATAAATAACTTAGCTTTACTTAAAAATATAAGCTGCAATTTTCATTTAGAATTAGAATAAATTTTATTTTTTATTTTTATTTTAGTTATAAATCGATATAAACAAAGCTTACACACTGAAAAAAAAATCTTTGACTTCTTTTTAATAAATTTTCCGTTCGATTTTTTTTTATTTTGTGACCATTCGAGGAAAGAAAAATTCCAATTTTACTAAAAACCAATTTTTCGTCTCAACTATAATAGGGAATTTTATATATTCATTAAGATTTTTTTACAACTAAACCAATCAAAAATTATTAAGGTAAATCGTCATAGTTTTGGAATTCTGTGGTTTACAAAATTGTACATAATTTTAAACTGTTTAATTTCAAACTGCAAGTTCAAGTGGTTCCTCAGAAATAAAAAAAATCTGCATTTCAAAATTCTGCATAGGAAAAAAAACCTGATTATAAAAAAAAATCTGCGTTTTTAAATTTGTATTACACGAAAGCTTTTCGACCGATGCCGTTCAAATTTTAGATTTTCTTTTAAAAAATTACTGAGCTTAAAATTATTTAAGCATTTTTTAAGATTTCAGTTCAAAATTTTTTCTATCATTTATATCATTATTAAACATAATGATATAGCAATAAAAAATTATTTTTGCTCTTAATCATATTTAATCAAACGAGTTCCATAAATGTATGCAAAAATTATTGTACTCGTTAAAAGAAGTTGTAAACATTCAAAACACACTAAAAAAAGTATAATTAACAGCAACAGGCTCAAACTGTAGAGCGCTGTTTTTAATTAACTAATGGGACAATATTTTCCAGATTTTGACTTCTCTTTCTCACATTTTTAGGGCGAAAATTCAAATCCATTAAAAAGAGGATACGTTTATACTTTAATTAATAAAAGGATTTTATTTACGATTTTGTGTTTGATTTCGTAGCTTTAAATCTGTTATGCATTAATAAATTAATTAATTAACATAATTGAGCTCTGCCGTTGTAATTGTTAAGCTCGCATGACAATGCATGTAAATAAAGTCTAAAGGATATTAAGAACATTTCGTTTTGTTCCTTTTTTTAAAAAAAAAGTTGTGTTGCGGAGCAAAATATTTGAAATCTTATATTATTTGTGATTATAGAAGATTTAATCCTTACGGAACAAACCTTAAAGAAAAAAAAAGTAACAGTATATAAAATCTAATTTATATATTTTTAAAATTTTGTAGGCTATGTCACAATAAAAGAAAACATCAGTTAAAAGAAATTTTAATTATAGATCGTTGACAACAGCTACATGATAACGATAACATTTGGGGCGGAAGTAGAAATAATCACAGAAAGAATGATAACGAGTTAAACTTTTGCAATGTCAAGAGATTAATGTAATGATTTAAAACATATTATACACGAAATTTTCTGGTTTGTGAACAAATAATGACTTGTAATATCAATTTAAGGGAATAACATTCATTATCTGATGTTACGCGCAGCAGATTGTTGTTATTTTTAACTGTATAAAAAAAAGAAACATTATTTTCTAAGTATTTATCCGAAATTTCGAAAATTGGGTTTTTGTTTGTTGATTCCAAACAAAAAAGTATGACCTTTAATTTTAAAAGAAATCATCACTTAAAGCAAAGAATGGAAAAAAATTATTTATTACTTTGAATCTTGAATATTTTATATCATTAGCAACATAGCATATGCTAATGAAAACGAGGAGCTAAAAGTGAGTAAGGAATAATGAAATATATAGAAATGTTTGAATGAGATATGAAAACAAATATTTAAATTCTTTTGAACAATTATTAATTTATATTTTGCTGCCTGAAAACTTTTGTTGAATTCCTTTTGCATCATTTCCAAAAAAATGTCAGCTGCAAATCTAATTTATCAAAAGCTTTAACCTTCTCACGTTTTTAAAATTTCTGGAATAAATTGAAGAAGCACATTGTTTAATTTTCTATTCATCATAATCTTTTTAATACTCAATAATGTAATGTTGTAAACTGACTTTTTTACTGAAGTTCATAGACACATGAACTCATAACCAAGGAAGAACTTAACTAAGCGCATTAGTAATTAGCATATCAGTAATGCATATATAATTTCTATATATGCATTACTGATATGCTGATTACTGATAAATATGCAAAAAAATGGACTTTTTTATTTTTATTGATTTTAAAAAAACTTTTATGTACCGTTTTCAACAAACACTTCCAAAGCTAATTATGCAAAAGAAAAAGTTTAATCTATTTTTCTTTACACTGACAGTATACAATTTTAAACACATAAGTATCACGACTATTGAAATACATTATAAACCGGTCTGTTTACTTATGACTTAAAAACTTTTTTTTGCAGATCTCCAAAACAAGCTTGTCTTAATGATGGCAGAAGTGAAAAGCAAAACTGCTGCAGAACCAAAGACCGATTTTAAGTGCAAAATTTGTCAAATGACATTTTCCGATATTTATGCTTACACAGATCATCTAGAAAGTAAACAACATGTAAAAGGTATCATGAAGCAAAAGTATGGTCAAAAATATTTAGAAGCGAAAGAAATGCTCGAAGAGAAACACTCTAAGAATAATATCGAATCTAGTGAAAATGGCAGCATTGAAGAAAAGACAAATACACATGAAAGTGAAAAAGATGACGATAGTGATACTGATGAAGATGACGTTTACACATGCGATGTGTGTGAAAAAATTTGCACTGGTTTAATTAACTACAAACTTCATTTATCAGGAAACAAACATTTAAAAAAGTTGAAACAAATTAAAACTATGAAAGAACTGAAAGAGAAACAAATGATTCCTAATGGCTATAAAGCACCAGATACAGATTTGCTCAGTCAAATTATGTCTAAAAATGTGTATGCTTCATCAGATCTCATGTGCGAAATATGTAATGTTAAGTGTACTGGGCCTGAAGTGTTTAAACAGCATTGCAAAGGGGAAGCTCACAAAAAGAAAGAAGTTAAGCTCCGTTTAAAAAAAGAAATGGAAGCTGACGGGATGCCTGCGAACACGTCAAGAGAAGATTTTGAAGACACGTATAGCTGCGATGTGTGCAGTAAAGCTTTTACTGGTATTTTACCGTACAAACAACATTTAGAAAGCACCACTCATCTTAAACAAAAGCGCAAAAACCAAAGTCTTGAAAAGGTAAAGGATCTTTGTATTACGTCGTCTAGTAATGCTAAATTGCGTTGTAAAGAATGTAATAAAACTTTTACTGGACCTGCTCCTTTTGAAGACCATCTGAAAAGTTCTTCACATGGGAAACTGAAAAAGAAGAAGAACTTATACGAGGAACTTGAAAAAAATTACCCCGAGATGTTGAAAACTTCAATTCGAGATGATAGTGAAAGTGAAGATAGTGATGGTGAAATAGTAAAGCCGGCATGTGGTATTTGCAATATGATATTCAGTGGTCCTGAAGTAGCTTTGGAGCATTTTTCGAGTGAGAAACATACAAAAGCTCTGAAGAAGAAGAAAAGAATTGATAAAAATAAGCGTGATAAAAAAGCACAGAATAGTGTAAAAGAAACTTCTGTAAGGGAAAATAAAGAGAAGCTAAAAAGAAGAAATGTTAATGAAGAAGAATGTAGTTCCGATGACAGTTTTGAAAGAATATCTCCGTGAAGTATTGATGGTTGGTAATTACACGCTGGATGCTTTTCCTCTAATTGGTAAGTAGCGTTCGTGTATTTAAACATAAAATTGTTTTATTTCTAATCTAAATTTAAATTAGAATAATAGAGTATAGTGAAACTCAATAATTGCTAGCCCTGATTGAATGTGACGCTGAATCTTTAATAAGTAGTACAGAACCCGTTATCTGGAAATCAGAAAACCGGAAAACCAAAAAACCGGATCGAAATTCAATAAATTTTCCCGCCATTTAAAAAAAAAAATTTTTTTTCCTCATAAGATTTTAGGATTTTTCTTTCTTTTTTGAAAGATGTTTACCTTACCATCATTTTAGAAATAATCATTAGTGTATTACTTCATCGTTTTTTCTTCTTTTTAAGATTATTTCCAAATTTTTTTTTTTTTAGTTGGGTATAACAATAAAAAAAACGGCTTTTTGTAGCGATTCAGAAAACCGGAAAAATCAGTTATCCGGAATAGCGATGGTCCCGATCGTTCCGGATAATCGGTTCCCTACTGTAGTTGGTTTAATGTCAGAGAAAAGAAAGAAAAAAAACTACATAAAACTTTATTGTTCAACTGAGATTTTACTAGAGTTTTTCATAAACATCAAAAAATCTATTTTTTTGAGATTGCCAGTAGAAGCATCATATTATTATTATTATTATTATTATTATGAATATTTTAGAAAAGATGAGGTACAATATGAATAGAAGGCTGCATAGTCATCAACTTTACACAGTAATAATTTTATTTAGCAGAATAATGCATGGTTTTTTACATCGAAAAAAAAAAAGTATAGCAAAAACTGCCGTGCAAAATTTAACTCGTTTCCAACACGTTAGGTATATTATACCGAAGAGTTTTGGTAAAATTAACTATAAAGTGTGATTTTATAATATGATAAAATTTCGTAAGTGTGTTAAAATTTCGTAATTTTATCATTATATTTCAGAACATGTCATAAAAACCACTTATTCGGTAAAATTTACTTTCCAGTTTTGTATTTTTTACTAAATACGTGGTAATAAGAACTATAATTTTGAAAACCAAAATATCCGGTAAAACGTTACCATATGATTGAAAAAATTACCAAATGAAAGATTGAAATAGAAATATTTTAATTTTATCACCAGAATTATGTTTTTTTCTTCCTAAGAAAATTTTCCATACTGTACGGTAAGTTTATCAGTATTTTTTTCTCTGCTCATTTTTCGCATAGATTGTAGTCTAACCATATTTTCTTCATTGAAAGTAATATAAAATAATTTTAAAATTAATAAATGACTTCTGATAATGAATAAATGAAATCTGATTATTTAATTCAAAAAATACTCCGATAAACAATTAATTTTGATATCAATTTTACGAATACCGAATTTATATCTAAAATTATGAAATTCTATAAATTTTTATTATTATTTTTTATTATAAGAATACTTAGTCGAATGTTAGGTTATAATTTTAAATAATTATTTTTCTTTAAGCAATTTATTACTTGTTTTCTTGGGAAACAGTATCGATAAAACTTATGCTTCAAACTATCAATTAAAAACTTAAAGCCTTATTTATTAATTTACTACTACAAGCTAAACATTAAAATACATGTATAAATAAGTTTTTTCTTCTTTTTTTCTTTTCAAACAACTTCCTTTGGAATATTGAATGTTTTTGGGGAACTTTCATCGCTCATCTACTTTTTGAATTTCTTTTTAATAAATAAATACCTTTTGCTTCTGTTTTCATTTTAAATACATTTTTTTTGTAGGGGTTTTTCATAATAGTTTATTTAATTACCTAGTTACGATCATGATACAGAAGATTTTCAGTTACAGTTTAAGTTATTTTTCAAATTTCTAATAGTTTTGGCTTCAGAAACTGCAAATATAGGTGGCATCTTAAGTTCCGAGTTAAAAATAGATTCCTTGCCATGCAATAATGCTTAAGCCGTGGTCTTTTGCAAATGTCTCTGTGTTTCTATAACTTTCTGACAAAATTAAAAACTAATATTTGGGCGCACATAATCAGATGAATTTGTATTAAACAAACTGACTACTGAAAAAAAAATATTTTTGCTTAGATAAATAATTAAAATATATTAAACTGAATATCACCTAACTTTTTTAAACAGGTAACTAACAAAATTATTTTTTCTTTATCCTCACTCGAAAATATGTTGCATGGTATAGCAAATTGTTTTAGAACCTTAATGATGTTTTCAAATTTAGTGAATCTATGCCTGATTGGATATTTTTATTGAATGCTCTTGTTAATAAAATAACCATGAATTCATAGAATTGTTAATATCTGATTTTGATTCAAAAACAGAAACATATTCTTTAGATTCCTATTTTATTTTTATAGTTGATAAATACAAATTTCATCAAAAACAGATATGCGTTTATGATTCAGTAAAACTTATCATAAACAATTATTAGGAATTTCTATTTATAATGCTCATTCATGCATTATTGCATACGTAAATTTCAAAAATAAATAAATAAAAAACATAATGAGCTGTGAAACTTGTAAATAGCTGCTTCTATAATTTCAAAGTTATGCGTGACATAACAGAAGATAAAATTTTTGGAGCAGTTTGTATCTTTTACAACAATTTGTAAAACAATAATTACAATCTTCACTGATAAGGTTATTGCGCTAGTTGATCGAATTCCTCCTAACTGCGCCAACTTCTTTAATCTAAATTTCATCAACATCTAGCGGATTTTAGTTTCTATTATATTTTTGCTTAATGCGTTAAAAATAATTTCATTTTTTATTTATAATTCACAGTTTCGCGATTAATTATCAAATAATTTTACATGGCAATATTGCTTGTCATAAAAATTACTTTATGTCAAAAGTTTAGCGAAGTTTACAATTATAATGTAGTTATTATGTGTATTTGATGATAGGAAATAATAGTTTTCGTTGTATGGCTATTATTGTTAATTAAATTATTGCATACTCCATGTGCTTCTTTTTAGAAACATTAAACTATCATGAACCTTATGAGTAAAAAATATTTAGTAAGAATTCAGCTTATGTTGATTATATTATGCTGATGAATTAACTCAAGCTTTTTTAAAAGCTTTTTCCGTTATTATGTTTCAAAAGATTTTCATAAAAACAGTTAGAAATCCGATTAGATATTAAATATAATTATAAATTACGGATGAATCATTTTGAAGAATTATAAATTTTTTTTATTGTTGTTATATGATTAATGTTTGATTATATCGTTAAAAATGTTCATAATTAAAATAATTTTTCTTTCTCATTGCAGTGTTCAAAGAAAACTACAAATACTATTAAAGGAATTTTCTATGGACTTTTTAATATGTATTGAATGCAATGTATTGGTTTGTGCGGAAAGTAATTTCGCTTTTTTTCTTCACTTTTCGCTTTTTTTTCTTCTAGTAAATAAATATTTTTTTGAATTATATGTAGCTAATTTGGATCCAATACCTTCTGCCATCTTTCTGGTAGTAGCATGACTCCACATTTTTACACTCATTTTTTTTTCTTTTTTGTTGGAAAAAAACTTATTTCGTGATTTTTCTACTTCCTTATTTGAAATAAAGATTTTACAGTCTAAACATTTTTGCAGAGACTAGAACAAAGATTGTAGACAGCCCATTTCTCATTCCCAGTGATATTGAGCTTAAAAAGGTTATTTTCTTGACGTTTGAGAAGCAAATCACAGACGTCAACGCTATGGCACTAATTTCTTTCTTTAAGAAAAAGAACAAACCATGACGAGCTATTAGATAAAACCTAAGCGTTTCAAATGGTCATGAACGGTTAAATTCGATACATTTAATTTTTCTTTGATCTGAAGGGTAATTTACCGGTTTGTACCAACTAATGCTTTTATTGCTCGTTTACCAGCTTTAACTCGCCTTCCAAAATGTGATGCATCTTCAACATCAAAATTGTCAGATCGACATTTTGCAAAGCGATTTTGGCACTGGCGTATTGCCAATACATCTTCTCCATAAACATCGGATTTTTTACCATTTTCATATTCCATATTTGAAAGGGCACTAACTTAAAACTAAAGAACTTTTTCACAAGCAAGCTACATCAGCTGTAAAAGTATATAATGATTATGCGGATGAAGTGTGAAATTGGCTGTAAAAAAGTACAATTGAATCCTTTTCACAAAAAAACGAAATTTCTTTCCAAACAACCCAATACGAAATATTATAGTGTCAATTAAGAGTTTAGAGTCATAAATGTATATTTGGCTCACATGTGTTTATCTCATGTTTTTGTTCTGATGCAAATGACGTCTTTTCATTATGATTTTTTATAATGCTTATTATGTATAACCTTCATGTTAATCTTGTAAAATTGTAAACTGTTATCATCTTAATAAATATTTTCACTAGAAATGCTGCTATGCTTTTATAAATCAGAGGCACCTTGCTATCATCATTTTTTTGCACGCTACAATAGTAAAAGACATTTTACTTATTTCTTTTTTCCAATTTTTTTTATTTAATATTTTTTTTTAACATTTTTACAATGTTTTAATATGTATTTTGGAAAACCTGACTTTTTTTCTAAAATGACGTCTTTCTTATCTTTCATATACTAATTAATTGTTGCAGACGATATTTTAAAATACGTTTTCGGAAACGAATTCTCACCTTCACTTACTTCACTGTAACGGATTCGAATTTTGGACCCTCAAAATTTGGGTAGTAGCAAGAGTCCCAAAAAATTGACCTAATAAGCAATCAAAAGTTAACCATCAATATTACTTTGACTTTTTGATCTTAACTTTTCTATTAAAGAAATTTTTGAAAAAAATGCATGCAAAAATGAAACCATTTGCCTGAAGATAGTTCAGAGGAAAAAAATATCTTCTTTTCTTAAAAAAAATAATTGCTTCTAATGTTTTTTTTTTTTTTTTAGTTTTATAGCGCTCTAAAAATTTTAAAATTGCATGATGTAAGCATTTAACATTATTTTAAAGTATATTTTAAATATGTAATTTTAAATGGCAAAATTCAATAGAAATCGGTTACATAGTTACTGATTTATATTATTTCTAAAATGTTGCATTATTACATTTTCATTTCTCGAGAAATGTATGCACAATTTAAAATTTCATCCCTTAAAATTGGATTAATTAAAGAAATCCGAAAGAAATTAGCTTGTAATTTAAAATCGTAAATCATTATTTAAATTAAAAAGGAAGAATAAATTTTTTTTTCTAAAATTATCTTTCGCAAACAAGCCTAATAACAGTGTGAAAATTTTTTGATTTACTTAAATAGTTTCAGACATGTAAAATGGTGTACAAAATTTAAAAATAACGTTCAAGGCATCAAAGTTTCGACCGGTCACTTGACTAAATTATTAGGGCCGTATTATTCAGATTGAGGTTGTCCTTCATGTCTATCTTGAGGGTCAGAAACCTGAATCAGATAATTAAAAAATATATTTATTCACGGAAAATACTTTTGGAGCATGACTGCGTTACTAAGAATTCGCGTTTGCAGTAATCAATTTAAGCAAGCAACAAGAAAAGCAAATTCGAAGTTAGCAATAGCAAATAACAATTCGAACAGATAAAGCTAATCTTAACTTAAAAAAAGACAGATATTTAAAATTCGATTCTCAGGAACAATGGGCCCGATTTCTTTCAAATCTAATATTTTGCCATATAAAATTACATCTTTAAAATGATGTAAAAATTTATTGAACCTTAAAATTCAAAATTTTTCGACGACTCTTAATAAATAAAATAATGAAAAATAATAAATAATTATAACAAACTATTTTTGCACATAATTATCTTTGGATAAGCGCATTTTATATTTGTGTGCCAAAATTTTTCAATTTTTTTAAAAATAATCAAAATATAGCAAAATACGCAAAAAGTAAAATTTACATTTAGGGGTCCAAACTTTGAATCACTCTCTTGACCAAACTATTGGGACCATATTGCGGCAACACCCTGTATTTTGGAGATCAGGAATCCGAATCCGTCGTAAAATAGGTATGTTTATTCAGAGAAAGTATTGTATCGGATTTCGTAACTAAAATATCGTTGGTATAAATTATTTATCATATTTGAAGTCACCCCCCTTGAATCGTGAAGTTTGAGTCCTAGTTTGTAAAAATCCGATCGTTAAATCAAAAGGTATTCATAAAACCACGTTTTTTATTTTATTATTATTTTTTTGAAAAAGTCTGGAAAAATCTAGTTATCTTACACAAATTTTTTTTCTGTCTTAAGATAGTAAATATTTGATGGCATATTTGAAAACTGGAGAAAATGTTTTACAACATCTGAACCTACGGTATAGTTGACAATACATGTGCTTACGTAATTCTAAAAACACTAATGTTAAATTAAAAAGTTTTTCAGTTTTGCTTAGAAACAACTTTTCCTCGGCACAAAAAGTTAGCATTTTTTTTCTGGGTTTATTTATGTATGCCTATTAATATTATTATTATTTTTGCAAGATAAGTATCAAATGCCTTAAACATGTGCACATTTTTTCTTTAAGTAAGAAGGTTTTTTAAGTAATTAGCTTGTCTATGCTGATATTAGAAAATTTTTCCTTTTAAATAACTTCTTAAAAATATTATTTATGTATTACTGTATTTTCATAAAAAAATATTAAATCACATTGAACTGTTCTTAGAAAAAGTATTAAGTCGAATAAATGTTTTGCTAAAAAGAAGTTTTTTTTGGTTAAAACCAGCTTTTTTCCAGAAAACTTACTTTGAATTCGAAGAAAATATGACATCAATGTTTATTAATACTTCTTATAACACCATATACTCACAAATAAATAAATAAAGCTACGTGTCTCCTAAAGAACAAGCCTTCCTTTAACAGGCAGTTAAGAATACAATAAATGAATGGTTGTTGAAAAATGAATTAGGGAATAGATTTTGAAACACATGATTAAAAACGGATAAAGAGTGATTCAGAAACAACGTAACAGTATCACTAGGGGAAGGGATTTATGGGAATAAAATTGATAGAAAAAGTTAGCACTAAAGTAAATTATTAATAAAATCACCTAAACAAGTAGTACGAATCAGCATATAAAAAATTAGATTTTTTATCTTTATTATTATCCTTTTTCATTAAAAATATCTAAACTTTAAGAAAAATTAGATAGCTTAGCCATCATTATAAATAAAAACAACAACAAGAATTTAGAGCAATGGACATCATGAGCAATTTCGAAAGCAAAGAGACTTATTCTGGTTGATAAAGAGCTCAATTTCTCCTTTCAAGATTTCAAGAAGTGAATGGTTATAGCAGGGGTCGCCAAACTTTTTTGATCATCGACCCCTATATAATTTTTCGAAATCTCCATCGACCCCCACAAAAGTAATTTTCTATTAATTCAAATAAAACTCTATTAGATACTGTATTTGTATATTTATTTTATGATTTTAAACATTTATTAAAGTAATAGTACATTGTGTAACAATAGTATATATTAATATTGAAATTTAAATACCTTATTATTAAATAATAAGTAATTATGCATAAGTAGATATAATAAGTAAAGTAACTAAGGAGCTTCTTGATCAATGAGATGGGTGTGCCTGGTGTTTTATTTGCAAGGTTCGCTATATTGGGTTCAAAATTGGTCAATTTTAATTTTCGTCAAAATTGGTCAATTTTGTAATATTTTTAAAAAGAATACAAAGTGTGCTATAGTTTTGTCGCGGGCTGTACTAATCCATATTATTAATGCATACCTTCTTTTTTGTGCATTGATAATTAAAATTGATATCTAAACCAAACAAATGGTTTTATCGAAACAATAACTAATTATCCAAAACTATAAAAGTTTTAATAATGACACTGCAAATATTCAACACAGTTTTCAAAGATAGCTGAAACTGCATATGATATTTGCATTTGTAACGTCAACGCTCGTCACACGTGACATTTGGACAAGCGCACATTTGCATATGATTTTATAAACTGCCCTGAGTTCGTGCCACTGCACTGTGGTACGTAAATACTTGTTTCACCACAATAAATATACGTTTATTAATTTATGTTTTATAACGAAACTGATATTGAGTCAATTATAAAAAAAATCACAAATTTGACATACTTAATTAGGTATGTGTGATTTGCGTATTGAGAACTGTTTTTTTTCTCGACCCACAATCGACCCTTCCGATTCGGATCGACCCCTATTCGCCCCCCTGTCTCAGATCGACCTCCGCTTTTGTTAAATAGACCCCTGGGGGTCTATATAGACCACTTTGGCGACCTCTGGGTTATAGGCTTGTTAGCAAGAGTTTAATTCCTTAAAAAAAAAAAAGTAAAAGGTGTAATAACGTAAAATTGCGATATTTGGGCTGCCAATTATATTTATATTTATATCCGTCGTTGAACAGTTCACCCAATTTTTAATTTACGACTACCACTGTTCAACTCCGTAGTCTTTTAATTTTGAACCCAATCCAGAAGACAAGGGAACTCCCGGATCAAGAATTGAGATATATCTGCCTTAGTGATGAACTTTTCGATGGAATTATCCCACATTTGCGTTACATGGTGAGGAAAAACCCGAAAACTTCCTACGGTTAGTCCGACGGGAAGGGGACTCTAACTCATGATTCGCCTGCCACTGAGCATACTACTTACTGTGGTTGGTGCTAACCAGATTCGGAATTCGTATCAACTTTCGAACCCAAAACACCACAGCTGCCAATTATAATCTCCACTTTGGCAATTTCTCTAATCAGGGAATGATACCCTCAGAATATTACTCAATGAAAACGTTCTGTTCTTTTCAGTGGCGCTATCTTATTCTTTTAGTTGAAAACGTTTTATTGCACAAATTTCGTGCGAAATTCAAATCTTCATACTTTTTGATTAACAATATGTATCATTTTAGTATAGTATTTCAGCTTGCATAAATCTTTACGAATTATGAAATATTGTTTTTAACGAGAAATGGGAAATAATAGAGAGTTTCTCCTATTCCCTACAAATGGCTAAAAAACTCTAGTATATTACTTATTTAATTCGATTCTGCTTTATGTGCTATTAGTCCTTAGTTTTAATTTGCTTGAAATAAGTAAATAAATTGTATGGTAAATATCTTCACACATATGGTTAGTTTCCAAAGTCTTCCATACTTTTTTTTTTAGTTGATTGTTACTGGAATTGCATAAAAGCAGTGACATATTTGGCAATGGGGAAAACATATATCATCTGAGAGGCATCCAATTATTAAAAATAAATAAATTGGACTATTAATCAAAATTAATTTAAGTATTTATTTGTTAGAATTATTTTAAAACTTAAGAGAGTCGGATTTCTTTTTTATTTTTATGTGTTCATTAATGATAATGAGATCACATTGTCCTTGTAATGAAGTGAGAAAGCGAT